CAAATAGATTAGCTATGATAATACTGTGCTATTGTGCATTGGAATAACTTGACCAGTATAAATAGAAAATGACACAGGTAGAAAGAGAAGCCTCTCATGCCGCCTTAATCAAACTGTCTTTATTAAAGGACTGGTATCTTCTCAGCAAGAGGCAAGCCAGACAGAACAACTCATAAAAACACAGAAAACCAAGGCATGGTTACCAATGTACTCTGACAGAGCTGTAACATCTTCCTCATGATAAGAGTAAGCCATTTTACATTAATTTGACTAAAACACCAAAGCAAATTTCAGGCTACTTACCTATAACGGAACCAAAATAGAACACAGAAAAAGAGATGGTGAAATGATGTTCAGCCCTGAATGTTGTGTACTTATCTCCCACCCACCATCTCTGAGAGAAGAATCCAGTCCTCGACAATGCACACATCCATATGGCACATTCAACATTCCATCAACATCCATGGCACACTTTCCATGGCCAGATCTCGGAGGATGTTTCTTTAGCCATTATTGCCTTTATGGTCATTATTTCTCTTTATATATATTCATGAATTTTTAGTTATCTGTGTCATATCTCAAATGACATTATAGTTTAAGATGATGTCCAAGAAGGTATCAGTTTATGTTACCTCAGGCAGTGGAAGGATAAAAACATGGTCAGTCTCCAAAGTGAGTGAGTATCTTGCTTGATTACTGAATCCCGAGATTAAAACTGGTTGCAAGACTTCCTTTTCTGCTCTCATTTCATAAGAAAATACTGACTGAACTTTCTAAATCCAGGAAAATGATTCAGCTGTCTCTTCAAATACAACTGCAGGACATAGCTTTGATGGAGGAACGGGGCTTAATCTGTACTACTGTCCATAACATTTTCTACAGATAACTTCCAGTCCAGCCTGATGACTTAGCACTTATGTTTTAGAATTTGCTTTATGAGTATGGAAGTTTTGGGCATGCCTCTGTTAGCACTTTAGTTCTTAACTTGCTGCTGAAGTTTTAAGGACAAGGTCTACTGCCTACAGAAAGACAGTACAATAATTGGCCAGTGGAATCTGACTTTGTACTCCAAACTATAGAAATAATACAACATTATACAATAAAAGAGAAATCTTAAAAAAGATGTGTATTTTTAGATAAGCAGAACTACTTTTAGTTAACTAGAAATATAAAAATTAAAATATGAATTTGTGCATGTTTCAACTCACAACACAGGCCAGACATGAAACATTTAGGCCAAATATTCTAGCTGGGGAAGAAACACTCATACGTGTGGCATAAATACTTGGTTAGAATTTGTCATTTTTCATTCTGTTACAGTTTGCCAGTGTTTGATACGCCCAGTGTGGACTATGGCATCCAAGACAAAGCAGAAGAAACAAGACACCACACGTACTGGGAAAAATAAGCAAGAAATAACAACCAAGAATGGAGATACATCCAAAGAAGTAAGTGACATGGAAATACTTGCCCAAGAGAGAAAATCATACTTGCAGAAGGAGTACGAGGTTGTTACTGAACATATGAACACATATATGGGAAGGATGGAGTATTTCCTGCAGGAAAATAAATTCCTAGAAAAGGAAGCCAAACAGAATCAGGAAGAGGGCAATGCTTACCTCTCTTACATAAAAAAACACAGCCAGAAGTGCCAGGATGTGATAATAACATTAAATGACCAGAATCATGCTGATCTCTCTGAAGTTGAGATGCAGAAAGAGAAGCTCATCTCACAGTACACAGGAAAAGAAAAGGATGTAAGGAGAGATCTGATGAACATGGAGTCAAAGTACTCTCTTCTGAGCATGGAGGTTGAAGACCTGAAGCCTTTCAATGACCCATCTTATCGAAAGGAACAGATAAAAAAGATTAAGCAGCTGGAGAAGGAACTGTTGGTCACAAAGAAACAGCATTCAGACGAAATGCACAAAATCAAGAGCAGATTTCTGCAGGCCAAGGATGACTGTAAGATGGACTTTCAGCAGAAGATCCACGTTCTCACCAAGAGAGCAGAAGAAGCAGCAATACAATCTCTAATTCAGCATATCAAACAAGTAAAAGCAGAGAATTGGCATATGTGGCAGGAATTGCTCAGACTCATCCAATACTCAAAAATCCTTAAAGAAACTAAAGTTCAATTGAGAGAACAGCAGGAGCAGCTTCTTCGGGAGAACCAGTACATTCAGGACATGGCACACGCACGACACTGTTTTACACCAGCATCAGGTGCACAATGCAACTGGTGAAACCTACAGGTCTCACAGCCTGTTCAGATGTGCCCATTAACCTCACTCTTTCCAGTGTCAGCAGACATTGCTGGACTGGCAGCTGCTGCCACCATTAGCTAAGTAACAGAGTATAGAGAACAAAATATTCTGTGCAAGGATGAAAGGATTTACACAGCTCATGCTCAGCACATGATCCAGACAACAGATCTTAAAAGTAACATCAGCTCTAAGACATCTATATTAAGACATTTGAAACTGCAATCCCTTCATGTCCCAGAATAAACAATGACATTTTCTCTTTGAAATCAGTCTTTTATGTTTCATTAATTAGTAATTTTCCATGGGCAAGTTATATTCTTAGTCAGTGAGGCAAACTTCATCTAAAAATACCATAGTACCCAGTGTAGGCCAGCTCTTACTTTCAGCAGTATTCATTTTCCCAAATCTTCTAAATGGCAAAGATTTATTTTACCTTCTGCTAGTCTCCAAAGAAGAGAAAATAAATAAAACCAAATAAAGGAACCAAATCTTTTACACAATATAAGCAGTTGAAGTATTTGACCCTTGGTCATAACTATCAATAAAATACCTTCATTTAACATATGCATATCAATTTTTACCTCATTCTTTTCTTGCTTTAGTGTTTCACTTGAGAAGCAAGAGGTAAACAGTTGTTTCTAACAGACTTCAGCTACATTCTCTTTCCAAGTTGAACAATTCTGGGTTTCAATTACCTCACTGACAGTGACACCAGAGGTCACTCTTAGTCCAAGTTTTAACATTCACACTGGGCTACTTTATACAGAAGCAGACCTTTGTTTCAATTGGAAGAGACCTCAAAGTAGGATCAACCAGAGCAGGGCCACTCTCGGTGCTTTTTAGTATCTCCAAGGTCTCCACATCCTGTTCCAACGTTTTGCCACACAAGTAAAAAAAAAAAAAAAAAAAAAGAAAAGAAGAAAAGAAAAGAAAAGAGGAAAAGAGAAAAGAAAAATAAGTTTTTGTTATATTTAGATGGTATTGAAATTCCATCACAACTTTCAGTTTCAGAATAGTCTGGCTCTGTCTTCCCCCCTCCTCTGCCTCTGTCTTCCCCCCTCCTCTGCCTCTGTCTTCCCCCCTCCTCTGCCTCTGTCTTCCCCCCTCCTCTGCCTGATATTTAAACACGTTTCTAAGATCCCCTGAACCTTCCTCAGGCTAAACAAACCTAGCTCTCAGCCTCCTCTCATATCACAGATGCTCCAAACCTTAATCATCTTTGTGTCCTCCTGCTGGACACAACCTCATGTGTCCATGTCTGTCATACTGGGGAACCCAGAACCATGCAAGATACTCTAGGCATGGTGTCTCAGTGGTGAGTAAAAGGGCAGGGCTGCCTCCCTCACGCAGCTCACTGACTATTCCTCATGTGGCCCAGGACGGTATTTGCTGCCTTTGCTGCATGAGGACATTTGCTGGCTCGTGATCAGCCTGGTGTCCACCAGGACCTCCAGGTCCTTTCCTAGCAAGCTGTCTTCTAACCCAATAGCTAGAACCTGTACTGCTGCATGGGATTATTCCTCCCTTTTCGAGTGATGAACTTCACCAAGTTCCTCTTGGTCCCTTTGTCCAGCCTGACAGGGTCCCTGGATAGTAGTACAACGACCTGCTCTATCAACTGCTCCTCCCTGGTTTATATCATAGAATCATAGAATGGTTTGTGTTGGAAGGGACCTTAAAACTCATCCAATTCCAACTGCCTGACAAGGACACCTTCCACTGGAGCCGGCTGCTCCAAGCCCCATCTAACCTGACCTTGAACACTGCCAGGGATGGGGTAGCCACAGCTTCTCTGGGCACCCTGTGCCAGTGTCCCAGCACCCTCACATGAAGTGGCGCAAACTCGCTGGGGCTGCACTGCAACCCCTCATTAGCTGACAAAGAGGTTGATCCCCGCAGTATCTTACCCCACTGACCTCCAGCTGGACTTCACGTCACCAATGGCAGACCTCTGGCTCCAGAGCTCTGTACGTTTTCAGTCTGCACTTACTAGCCTGTATTTGGTCAGTTTGTCACCAAGGACGCTATGGAATACGGTGTCAGTCAGAGCACGCGCCTGGCACGGGGGGCTCTGCAGCATTAGCGATGGTGGCAGCTACATTTTTTGAAAAAAAAAAAAAACCCACAACTTTTTTTTTACAGTGCATTCGAATGGTGCCCGTTTGAGAACAACGTCTGGCGTCCTCCCGCGCCAAGTTTATCAAGTAAACTTGTCCAAGTGACGGCACCGGATGCGCTGCCCCCGAGAAGTCTTACGCCCTGTGGGGGCAGAAGAAAGGGAGACGCGTGAAGGTGGATGGGGGGAAAAGGGAAACTAGGAAAGTGGGAAACAGCAGCCCCGCGCCTCAGGCCCCGGAGACCTCCCCACAGCACCTGCCACAGCCCCGGCAGGACGTCTGACATTACACTGTGCGCCTGCGCGGGCTCGGCGCGCTTGGCGCATGCGCTGCTCGGCGGCGCCGTTTCCATAGCAGCAAAAACCGACAGCGCGAGCGCGGCCTGCGACCTGGTGCAGGGCGGCGCGGTGGTTGTCTGCCCGCCTCCCCTCGCCTCCCCTCGCCTCCCCTCGCCTCCCCTCGCCTCCCCTCGCCTCCCCTCGCCTCCCCTCGCCTCCCCTCGCCTCCCCTCGCCTCCCCTCGCCTCCCCTCGCCTCCCCTCGCCTCGCCTCGCCTCGCCTCCCCTCCCCTCGCCTCCCCTCGCCTCCCCTCGCCTCCTTCCCGCCGCCCGCTTCGGCCCGGCCGTCATGATCGCGCCAGAGGTGGAGGCGCTTGTCTCCCAGAAGTACGAGATCAAGAGGCGCCTGGGCAAGGGCGTGAGTGCCTGGGGGGGACTTGGGAGCTCGGGGAGCTGGGCAGCGAGTCCGGCGCTGCCTGGAGGCATCCCGGCGGCGCCTTGGTCTGAGGCTTCCCGGTCCCTGCCGCGGGCCGCGGAGCTGAGCCAAGTCTAGTGATGGCGGTCTGAGAGTTTATATCTTAGAATCCCAGTCTGGTTTGGGTTGGAAGGAACCTTAAAGCTCCTCCAGTTCTAACCCCCTGCCACGGGCAGGGACCCCTTCCACTGGAGCAGGGTGCTCCAAGCCCCTGTGTCCAACGTGGCCTTGAGCACTGCCAGGGATGGGGCAGCCACAGCTTTTCTGGGCACCCTGTGCCAGCGCCTCAGCACCCTCACAGGGAAGAACTTCTGCCTAATATCTAATCTAAATCTCACCTCTTTCATTTAAAGCAACTACCCCTTGTCCTGTCACTACATGTCCTCTCCATCTTTCCTGTAAGCCCCCTTTAGCTACTGGAAGCTGCTCTAAGGTCTGCGGGGAGCCTTCTTCAGGCTGAACAAGCCCAGCTCTCTCTGCGCTCCGAATGGGACAGAAACCTTTTACCAGCATTATCACCGCTGTGGCTGAGCTGCAGAACCTCTTCAGCTCTGCCCATCCCTTCCTAGCACTCATCCTTTGACTTACAGAAACTTTCACACCAAACACAGCATTTAAGATCATTTAAGATCATCAGGGCCAGCCGTTAAACTGGTACTGCCAGGTGCACCACTAAACTGTCTTCTAAATACCTCCAGAGATGGTAACACAAACAGTGCCCTTGGGCAGCCTGTTTCAGTGCTTGACAACCCTTTCTGGGTAAAATTTATTCCTAATACCCAGTCTAAACCTTCCCTGGCACAACTTGAGGCCATTTATTCTTCTCCTATCTCTTGTTAGTCAGAAGATACCTTGCTCCATCCTCCTTTCAGGTTGTTGTAGAGAGTGATAAGGTCTTTGATGAACTTACTTTTCTCCAGATGAGCCCCTCCCCAGGTCCCTCAGCCATTCCTCATCACACTTGTGCACCAGGCCCTTCACCAGCTCTGTTGCCCTTCTCTGGACCCGCTCCAGCACCTCAATGTCTCTCTTGCAGTGAGGGGCCCAGAGCCGAACACAGGATTTGAGGTTCAGCCTCACCAGTGCCCAGTGCAGGGACACAATCACTGCTGCCCTGGTCCTGCTACCACACTGGTGCTGATACATCAGTGTATCATGTGTGTGTGGATGCCATTGGCTTCTCAGCTGCCTGGGCACAAACTGCTCATGTTCGGCTCTGTCAATCAGTACCCCCAGGTCCCTTTCCATGAGCAGCTTTCCAGCCACTCTTACCCAAGCCTGGAGCACTGCATGAGGTTGTTGTGGCCCAAGTACAGGAACAGGCACTGAGCCTTGTTGAACCTCATCCCCATGGATCCAACCTGTCCAGATCCCTCTGAAGAGCCTCCTGCCCTCCAGCAGATCAGCACTCCCACCCAGACTGGTGGTGTCTGCAAACTTACTGAGGGTGACCCTGATCCCCTTATCCAGATCATTGATAGAAAGATTAAACAGAACTGGCCCCAGTCCTCAGCCCAGGGGAGCACTGCTTGTGGCTGGTGCCAACTGGATTGAACTCCATTCACCACCACTCTCTGGGCTTGGCCGTCCAGCCAGTTCTTTACCCAGTGAACAGTTAATGAGTTTACCCATTCAAGCTATGAGCATCCATTTTCTCCAGGAGAAGGCTGTGGGAAAAGGTGTCAAAGGCTTTACTAACGTCTGGATAGAAAATATGCACAGTTCTTGCCTCATCCACTAAGTGGGTCACCTTGTCATAGAAGATCGGGTTGGTCAAACAGGACCTGCCTTTCTTAAATGTGAAGAAGGAAGTTAGTCACTTAGTGTAACTTACTCAGCCTTAGTAGTTAGATGTGCTGAAACCTTAGGCTGCAAGATGTGAACTTTCACATAGGTATGCTGAGCTTTTAACCTACTTAAATAAAAGGAGGCCCCAGAGTTCATTTGCCATATACATGAGGAAGCCACAAAGCTCACTACCCTTGTCAGCAATAGCTGCAGCCTTAGAGATAACAGAAGAAATGGCCTGCCTAGAGGCAGTGAAGAGATCCAGTGGAGAGCAAGAAAACCCAGACCCTAATATTATTTGGAATTATCATGTGAGGAGTGGGAAACTTTGATTGCAAGAGTATGATTGCTCAGGGATTTCTTTGTTCAGGGTCCCTCTCTGGTGGCACCCAGCTCAAGCTGTAGCTCACCACTGTACCAACTGAATGAATTCATCGAAGTCTGCCTGCGACTCTGCTTTGGAAAGCTCAGGATAGAGGCAAAAAGGGAAAACATCTGCCTGAGTGTGTGTGTCTAGAGTCAACATGCAGCACCCATCTGTCCTCTGAAGCTGCCACCACCAATGGACTGCAAAGTCCCAGTATTTAAAGTCTTAGGTGGTAGTAATGTGATTCCTTGATTGGGTGTGTGACAAGTCCATATTCCCTAACAGTAGCCCGTGCTGACTGGGCCTGATCACCTGGTTCTTCTTTCCTTGCAGCCCAAGATACAGTTGGCTTTCTGGGCTGCAAGCATACATTGCCAGCTCATGCCCAGTTTTTCATCCACCAGTACCCCCAAGTCCTTCTCCTCAGGGTTGATCTCAACCCATTCCTCCCCCAGTTTTGATACTGGGGATTGATCTGACCCAGGTGCAGGACCTTGCACATGGCCTTGTTGAGCTTCATGAGCATGTACATCTGCTACTGGCTGCTTTGAGAACCAGGACACTTTACCTTGTGGATGTTTGGTTGGACTCAGTGTTGCTGTGCTTAGTCCTTGACTAAACCAACTGTTGCTCGTTGGCCTAATCTCTTTCTTCTAAGTAGCTGGTGATTACCCCTTCTTTCAGTCCTAATGAACATGTTCTACTTCCACACTGAAGGTCTGAACTGTGCTTTAAATGCCATAGTACACTGTTCATCTGTACCTTTTTCTCTCTAGGCTTATGGCATTGTATGGAAGGCAGTTGATCGCAGGACAGGAGAAATAGTGGCTGTTAAAAAGATTTTTGATGCTTTCAGAAACAAAACAGATGCTCAGGTGAGAAATTATTCTAATCTTTCTAATATGTCTTGAAAGATGTGGTGGGAGTTCATAGATATTTTCAGGATTTATGTTTTTGAAAGATGTTAGTTATTTGACAATTATGCATGTAATAAAACAGGATCTATATTAGGATATTATTAGAATATATTAGGAGCAATAAATGCCAAGCTTTGTATCTACAAAATATGTTTCATATCCCTGAGGAAAAATATCTTTATAGACATGCATAATTTGATTCTCCCATGTGTTGTTATGCTATAGTGTCTAAGAAGAGCGCACACCTGTAACTAGTAAGCAATTGTTTTTTTCCTAGCCTGTCTACCATATAAGAGTTTCCTCTGCTTTAGAGATGGGAAGGCTATGCTCTGTTCTGTCATTCTGTTGGGGTGATAATAAACTTGTTTGTTGTTTATTTCTAGAGAACGTTTCGAGAGATTATGTTCCTACAGGTAACGTCCATTGTCCCCACTTCTCTCTGATTTTTCATTATCTCTGATGTTCACATATTTTCTTCCTACTGTTTTTCAAAATGCAAAGATCAGTGTTGACAATTCTGTTAATTTCTTTTCTGCACCATCTTGGCAAACAGTCTTTCTATGACTGGGCAAAACCACCTGAATGAAATGGAGTTTGTCTTATTTTTCCTTTAAGACATGCTATCATAACTATAATGTTCTAAGGACACAAGCAAGGCAGGCCCCATGCAAAGAGGTATTTCCTAAAACATAAGAAATGTTCTTTCATTGGTAGCTGGATGTTTGTCTTAATTTGCTTGTGCAAATCCCTTCCTGTGTATAACAATTGCTTAGTTCAGTCTGTATGTTTATTATAAGGGCATTGGTGGGCTGGATGAAGTTTAGTTCTTTAACTGAGAAGTGCTTATGTAGAATCTGGGCATTTTGATGACTCCCTTCTGGGTGATATGTGATATGCTGGTCATTATGCTGCTTGCAGGGTTTATGTTTATTATTCAGTATAGTTGTAGATCTATTTGGTACATTTTGGGCCACATTTTAGAGTGTTGTTTTTGGTAATTACTTTATTAAGAGCATTGTTCTTTAAGCAAAGATAAGTAGGACTGGCTCTGACAAGATGTTTTTCAAGGTAGGATTTTTTTTGATATAGAATGAAACTTTTTCATAGTTTTCCATTATCAGTTCCAGGACAAGACGATAAGTTCTTAAACAATACTGAAATAACACTGTCAAGGCTGATGCATCTCTAGAAAAATATCCCTTTTGGGTAAAAATTGTCTTTAGATTATTTGGATGGGTATTCTGAATATTGTCCTCAGAATACATGCAAGGCTGTTTGATGGCCTGGGTGTATATTACTGCTTTGTAAGTGTATTTTCATGGGTTGCTGCAGGTGAGTGTGTTGGTTTGTGGTTTTTTTTCTAGATGTTATACATCGTAACCAATTTTTGTCCTGGCCTCAGAGTCTAGGAAGACGATGCTGTTATAAGACTGTACTGGGGTAGCTTAATATTATGCTTTTCAATACTGTTTATAGCTGAATTTGTGATGGAAATAGATAAAGAGTCAACATTACTGGTTCAGATAACAAAAAATTCACTCATTTTAGATACAAGCATAAATTTTATGGTGCAGCTCTTTATAATATTATATACAGGGTAGTTCATGAAATGTTGGCATATTGTGAAGTGTCCACAGTGTCTCTGGCTGTACAGAAGTGGTTATAGGTATAGGGAATAAAACATGTTGAAATAAGCTATAAGAAATGAAGAAATTATCTTGACAGTATTGTCAGTCTGCAAATGTGAGGGTAGAATTCACCTGCAGTTTAAGATATCTGTATTTAGGTGTCTCTCTGCTGTCTGCTCTCCCATTACAGTCAGCTCAACCAAGGCAGCCTGTGGGGAGTTTCAGCCCACTCTCAAGTTGATTGGATTTGTTCGTTATGGATGTTGATGGCAACTTTGCTCTACTTTCACTCATTCTTTGCATTCAGTAAGAAATCTGAGGTGCATAAAGATGAGTGGATTTTATTTGCAAATGGTATAGAGGGGTTTTTAGAACTCATGTCTCAGACGCTAGATTTTCATTTGTTTGCATTTTCTGCCTGGTTTCATACTATGGAGCAAGCATAAATACAAAATTAAATAGGTTATTGTCCCTTTTTATGGTTCACATGCAAGACAAATGATTTTTGGCAGTTGGATCTCTTCCCTCTGCAGGAATTTGGTGAACATCCAAATATCATCAAGCTGCTGGATGTTATCCGAGCTCAGAATGACAAGGACATCTACCTCATCTTTGAGTCCATGGGTGAGACTTAGCATTGCATCACCCAGTTAAATACAGCCTCTCCTATGAGTTATCTTTTTTCCCTACTTTGATAGTGTGTTGATGATTTACATGAATATTCATGTAAGTAGGAGCATTACGTTTTTCAAAACAAGTATCAGTTGTGAATAGATTTGAATGGCAGTGAGACTTTAAAAGGAATAATAATTACATGGGAACTGTCTGATTGAGAGGAAGGAAAGACAGCAGTGAGTAACAAATTAGAAGGCTTGTAGGGACAGGAGAGTTGCATATGGAAGAGACTGTGCAATTTTATTATAACAGAAGATGCAAAAATAGAACAGCTACTGTAGCATGAACCACAGGTCAGACTGATAGTACAGAAAGATTGCAGTATGATTAGTAATTACAGTGTTCTGTTGAGGATGCACTTGAAAGATTAAAGTTTGGACAATAGTCTATTCTGGCCTTGCTTTGAGGAACTTTCATTCCTTTACTGATGTAAATATATTACTGATGTAATATATTACAGAGACAGATTTACATGCTGTGATTAAGAAGGGGAATTTGCTGAAAGATATCCACAAGTGTTACATTCTCTACCAGCTCCTGAAGGCAACTAAATTCATCCACTCAGGAAATGTTATTCACAGAGATCAGAAGGTATATTTCAGTCACAGTATTTATCCTTCACTCAAGTTTTCTGTTAAACACTAAATGGAAAATATATTGAAAGAATGAGACTAATAAAAGAAACTTGATAATAATCTCCTGCCATCCAGAGAGTAAAAAGAAAAAGCTTATTAATTTTCCTTTGTTCAATTCAGCCTTCGAATATCTTGCTGGATGCAGACTGCTTTGTCAAACTTTGTGACTTTGGGCTGGCCCGTTCGTTATGTCAGATGAACGAGGACCAAGTCAACCCTGCTCTAACGGAGTACGTGGCAACACGCTGGTACCGAGCCCCTGAGATCTTACTTTCCTCTCGGAGGTAACTGTTTAATATCGAGTGAAGGGATGGCATTCTGTAATTTCTTCCCACTGAGAAAACATAATGTCTAAAAGCTTCAATATTTTCATTTTGGATGTCACCAGATGCAATGTCATGTTAGCAGCTCACTTTCTCAATATGCATTGAAACTTCAGTTCTGCAACGTAAAAAAAATCTCTCATTATGTGTACATTTCCCTCCTGGCTTCTTAGATTGCCTGCTTACATAATCAACTCGTCTGTTTGTTGTCCTTTCTACTACTACACTTATTCTTTCTCCTTTTAAATCTGCATCTTTGCAGAATTTGGTTGAGTACCTTTGTTATCTTTTCCAAATTTATGGAGAACTTGCTGATAGACCTTCAAAAACTATCCTGTAATCAAATGTTAAATCAGCAGCTAGTCAGGCCTAGTCCTTTTTTTGACTTAAACATACAACATCTTATTGATCAGAAAAAAAAACAAGCCCTACGGGCTGGCTCAGTATCCCAAGTTTGAAATGTGGATGTTTTTCAAACTGTCATTTACCCATTTTTTGGCATTTACTTTGCTTAATAATTGTAAGCACTTTCTAAATACATTATGTCCTGAAAAGTCAGTTGTTTCCAAACAGCAACTTGTATCTTCACAGTTGGTGATATGAAAAATGTATAGTACCTTGTCCTGGCATTTACATTTAATATATTTGCTTTTATGATTTCCTAGAATGGACTTTCAGTAGGATAAATCTCTGTCAAAACACTGCACTGCACCAGCTACCAAGTAGGAGAAAAATGACTGCTACTGCTGAACCCAGGACATTACGCTTGCCAGTTCCATGATTCTCAAATCTCATTCACTTTATAGTTAAAACCTGTGAATATGAATATGAATGTGAGCATTCATATTCAAGGAGTCATCAAGTTTGTTTTGCTAGCAAAATAAACTGATGTAGGTGATGTGAATACCAGGTACAGAAAAACAGTTGCTTGACTTTGTCCTAACTCTATTCTGTTCTTATTTGTAGTTACACTAAAGGCGTAGACATGTGGAGCATTGGCTGTATTCTGGGAGAGCTGCTAATTGGGAAACCTCTTTTTCCTGGAACTTCAACAGTGAATCAAATAGAGCAGATCTTGAGGGTCATTCCTGCCCCATCCCCAGAAGGTAGGGCTCTTCTGTGGGGAAAAGTATTTAGAGATTAAAAGGGTGAAGGAAAGCAGCCCAGCTGGATCAGGGAAGAAAGTATCTCTTCAGAGACATTGTAACATCTTTCCAAGGAAATTAAAGACTTAATTTTGAAACCAATATTTGATTGGGTGAGGAACAAGAACCAGGCCTTCAAAGCAGTTTTGAGATCTGTAAGAGGATAACAGTTTAAAACAGTGTCGTACTTCAGGAGGACTTGTATAATAAAGAGAAATTGGACTTTTTGATCTGGAAATCTAAACACCAAAGTGAAAGCTGGAAGAAGTATATGTTAAATCTAAAAGGGATTATTATTATGTCTTCTATGAGTTCCAGTCTAACAGCCCATACAGTTTATGAACTTTTGCAACATGTTGATATGTTCTGAGCTAGCAAATAGGTTTTTTTTTTTTTAGAAAAATAACTACCTTCAGTTTAAGGACGTGACATTGTTGGAGAATTCCATTCATGCTTAAAGTTATTTATAGTTTTTATTAAGAGATTTGGTTGCTGGGGGTGAAATATGAATGGAAATGTGTGTGAAAACACCAAAACAGGAGTTAGAAGATAGCCAGTTATTAAATAAAAAATGCTATTCTATTCTCAGCGATATAATTGAAGAATGTGTTGATAATGTCATAACCAGAAGGTATATACTCTAAGACAAGACCAGAGGACAGTGGCTGTTTAGCAGAAGGTCCTGTGTCTTTACTACAGGACAATGGCTGCGAGGTTGCAGCATGTCACAGGCACAATTTTTTCTTTTAGCCAAAAAAGTGAAAAGAGACAATTGTTCAAAACATTATTGCAACAACTTTGCCTAGAGGTTATGGGGACTGAAGAAGCAAGATTCTGAAGCAGAAAGCATTCCATAGCAGCTGTTGACTCTTTGGGAGTATGACAGATGTTCAACAAGCAGTTCATCATCACCAGTCAAAAAGAACCCCAGCAGATGTGATGACAAAATCAGTAGCTGGTATCCATTGTTCTTTGTGTCCCACACGAGTGATCTTGGACAGATCATTTGGCCTCAGATATCGTCATACTTCTGCATATGTGGGTGCATAAGAATGCAAGTGCATAAGAATGTGGGTGCATAAGAATGCAAGTTTATGAAATCTACTATAGAATGAATAGGAACTGAGAAAATCAGCTTAAAGAATTCGTAAGTAAATATTCCATCTGCCTTTTATAAGATCTCCATTGAAGTTTTCTTAGGATAATTTCCTACATTAATATCAAATATTTGTTTTCCTTCATAAAATGTGTAGCTCTGGTGGTCCTTAGCATAAAATTATAGAACACTTTGGTTTGGAAGGGACCTTAGAGCTCATCCAGCTCCAACCCCCTGCCATGGGCAGGAACACCTTCCACTAGAGCCGATTGCTCCAAGCCCTGTCCAGCCTGGCCTCGAACACTGCCAGGGATGGGGCAGCCACAGCTTCTCTGGGCACCCTGTGCCAGCACCTCACCACCCTCACAGGGAAGAACTTCTTCCTTGTATCTAATTTGAACTTTCTCCATTTCAGTTTGAAACCATTACCCCTTGTCTTATCACTACAGTCCCTATTTAAGAGTCCCTCTCCAGTATCCTTGTAGCCCCCTTCAGGTACTGGAAGCTGCTTTGAAGTCTCCACTCAGCTTCTCTTCTTCAGTCTGAACAGCTCCAATGTACTCATCCTGTCTTCATATGGGAGGTGCTCCAGCCCCTTATCATCTTTGTGGCCTCCTCTGGACTTGCTCTAACAGCAAGTTGGCAACATCAAAACTGCCCACAGTACTCCAAGTGGGGTCTCACAGGAGCAGAGTAGACAGGCAAGATCACCCCCTTCACACTGCTTTTGATGCAGCCCAGGACATGGCTGGTTTCTGGGCTGTGAGCGCACACTGAACCCAGCTCATGTTCAGCTTTTTTTCACCAACACCCCAAGTCCTTCTCTGCAGGGCTGCTCTGAATCACTTCACCCAACCTGTAGTTGTGCCTGGGATTGCCCTGACCCAGGTGTAAGACCCTGCACTTTGCTTTGTTGAACTTCATGAGGTTGGCATTGGCCTCTTCTCAAGTGTGTCAAGGTCCTTCTGGACGGCATCTTTTCAGTGTGTCAGCTGAACCACACATCTTGGTGTCATTGGCAAATTTACTGAGGGCTTCTCAATCCCACTGTCCATGTTGCTGACAAAAATGTTGAACAGGATCAGTCCCAACACTGACCCTTGAGGGACACCACTTGTTAACCTGTCTGCAGTTGGATATTGAGCTATTGAGCACAACTCTGCGTGCAAGCACCAGCCAATTCTGTATCTACCAGGTGATCCACCCATCAGATTCATGTCTCTGCAGTTCAGAGACAAGGATGTAATGCAGGACAGTGTCAAATGTTTTGCAGAAGTCAGGTAGACAAGGTCAGCTGCTCTGCCCCGTCCATCAGTTCTCTAGTCCCATCATAAAAGGCCACCAAATTGATCAGGCAGGATTTGCCCTTAGTAAAGCTGTGTTGACTGTTACCAACCACCTTGTTGTTTTTCATATGCCTTAGCATACTTTCCAGGAGAATCTGCTCCATGATCCTACCAGGCACAGAGGTGAGACTGACTGGTCTGTAGTCTTCCCATATTTCCCTTGAAAATGGGGGATATATTTCTCTTTTTACAGTCATCAGAAACTTTACCTGCCTGCCATGATTTTTCAGATATGATGGACAGTGGCTTAGCAACTTCATTTGCTTCTGGACTTGTGGATGTATTTCATCAGGTCCCATAGACTTGTGCACATTCATGGCACTAACAGTAATTCTTTTCACTGTTGCAGACATTTTGGCTGTGCAGCCGGATTACAGAGCCTCAGTTATTAACCGCATCAGTTCCCGGTAAGCCTTGTGTATTTGCTGTGTTTCAGAAGTCAGCAATCCTGCTGTATGATGGTGACAGAAAACTCTGCTGCAGTTCTGCAGTTCACCTGCCACTGTTCCCCAGCGGAAATGGTTTCTGCTCTCTGCAGATTGAAAAAAAAAAAAAAAAAAAAGGACCAATGACATAATCTGGGAATAACAAACAAAAATGAGGTTGGGCCTATGGGCTGACATTCCAAGCTATTGTCATGTGAACTTTCTGAAAATTGGAGTATGTTCTTATCCTGAGGCATTTTGATTAGTTTTCCTGATATCTGTCATGGTTCTTTTGGAGCATACAGTTATGTACCCAGACAAACACAATATTCTGTATTTATTACATACCTCATTAGTAAACATTAGTAAACTTGATGCTCTTATACTGTCTTACAGCCATAGGAAGTTACTCACTGGTGTCTGTAAGTGTGCTCTGCTCTTATGTGTCATAAGTATCCTGGTGGGCATCCCTTCTCATTGAGAAGTCTGCAACATGCATAGCCCAGCTATGTGTGGTGTGATTCCTCTGAACGCTATGTTTTCATAGCTCTAGGTTAGGATGGCTCAAACCATAAACTCTAGCAGGTCTTGTTCACATGAGCTGTATGTGGGTTTTCATGTTGACTTTGGTTTTTGAGGTCCCTTCCAACCTTAAGCACTCTGATTCTGTGATTCTCACTTGCCCAGCCTGTTGGTAAATCCTTCTGTTGTAGAGCTGCTGCATGTCAAATGGCAGAGAAGGGAAAGTGAGCAAGTGACTTAGCTGCTAGCGAGGGTCACCCCCCACAGCACCTCTGAGAAGAGCTCTCTCATTACTATAACCCTTCTCTGAAGGTGAAAGACAGCAACTGAAGCTCTCCATTAACTCCTGCCTGAAATGCACTTCTTTTTGACAGCCCTTCTCTTTGGATGTTATCTTCTCTCCCCCCCCCCCCCCATATTAAGGTTGCACGGCTGAGTTCTGATAGATGGTTCCAGATAGGTAAAAGGCAAGTGAAATGTTATTCTTCAAAACAAAAAAAGGGTTTTTTTTTGAGCCACTCAGTCCATATGCTATGTTCAGTGATGGATCATTTTTCTAAACTAAAAGAATGTTGTCATGGTGTAACAATGTTATTTAAAATATAAGCAAGAATTGTTTTGTAAAACTGATTTTTCAAATGTGTTAGATGTGCTCATGTTCATGATGTTAATAATTATATTTAAGATTTTTAAATGCAAAACCAGACTTTTAAAGTTCATCTTCTCATTGCAAATTCTACAGAAATACATTTCTGTGGTCTAAGGGCTGGATTCATGGGATCTTTAATGGTTGAACTGAAACGTCCAAGTTAGGAATTTGGGCTTCCTGCATTTTCAAAAGAACAGAAGGATTCATTGGCCAGAGAACTCGTTATTTCCTTGTGTCTGACACTGGCTGGTATCTATCACTCTTTCCACTGAAACAAGACAAAGACTAGATTTGCAAGTTAGGTACTTCATGTAGGTTCCTAGTGCTAGGAGGGAGGCATTCAAACCTAATCAAAGGGGTAAAAACTTCACCGTACTCACAGGCCTCTACTTCAGAGTGTTCCAGGGTTATGGCACTATTTGTGAGTGAATTCTGGAGTCAGGTGTCCCTTGATGTGATTCACAGAACTGTTAATTCATGCCCTCACTGTGAATTAGACACTGGAAGCTTATATCATTGTTTTCTGACTTCTAGGCAGCGAGTAACATTTGAGGAGATTTTACCATCCTCTACTCCATTGCCTGCCTTGGATCTTCTGAAGAAACTTCTAGTGTTTAACCCTGACAAACGACTCACAGCAGAGGAGGCTTTGCAGCATCCTTATGTGAAAAGGTGAGAGTAATATCAAAGTGCAGTTTCCCTGGTGTCTTCTGAGATGTTAAAGACCCACACTTGGCACAAGTTTTCTTTATACACCTGGTAGAAAAATAAAAACTGCACCTAAAGCTAACTGTTCATTTTCTCTAACCCTCGTTATACTAGAGGTCACCCTGGATGATTTAACAATCCTTTTTAACATTATTGATCTGTGGTGCTGGTTTTGCTCTTAGTGAATTACATTATGTGTTATCATCTTCTTAGGTTTCACTGTCCTGCCACGGAGCCCTCTCTGGGTCATGATGTGGTTCTTCCTTTAGGTGATGATATCCAGCTGTCTGTGGCAGAGTACCGGAATAAATTATACGAGGTACTTTTGCTTACTTTATTTTTCCAGAGTCCAAGGTAATTGCACGTGCTTAATGAATGCTGTCATTTTCTTAATTTCATTTAAGGTGTTCAGTAGAAGAAAATGAGTAAATTCTATTGTGATAGAGCATTAGGAGTCAGGAGAAGAGGAATTAGTAAAGTGAATATGGAGCACAGGTACAAAAGATATTCTAAACGTCAACAGATTGGTCACACATAATGCAGGTACAAGGCTAAGAAACAAGTAAATAGTTTTGAATTATCTTACTGATAGGGTGTCAAACTTGGGAAGAATTATTACAGGAAGTTGAGAGCAAATTGTCTATACCAAGACAAGGATTCTTTTGCTAGATAATATTGTGTAGAGGTAGGTGAGAAATAATTATGCACAAATCGGAGTGAATATTGCTTTGACCATTAAAAAATCAGCTTTGCAAAGTTCTAGAAAGCGATGATAAGGAACAGCATAGTGTTAATCTTCTGAACATGTGGATTGTCTTTTCCAAGGCTAATGCTCATTTTATTTAGTGGTGTCCTCTCTCAGGATATATTGAAATTGCCTGTTCACCCAATACTTTTTCTTACTGCTTCAGCCTCTTCTTTCTTTCCACTGAGAATTTTATTTCTATCTTCTTTCCAACCTAAATTAATTGTAAAATTATACTTATTACCTATGCTGTGAAAGAAATTGCAGTTTGGTTTTGTTTTGTTCCTTTGCTGTGTAACTATGTTAAGTCTAACCAACTTCTCCTTTCTGTAGATGATCCTTGAAAAGAAACCAGATAGCCATCCAAAGGAGCAAATGTGGAGAGAAAACATACAAAGAAGTCAGTCGGAATCTAGGCCACTTCCAAACTCCACTTCTGTGATTTTACCTACCAAGAAAGGCCAGATAGAACCAATACCACCTCTTCTAGAAGCTCCACATGTGCATGCTGAAACTACATGTGGTATCCAGACAGAAGTATCCAGCCAGAATGAAGATTTAACAAGACCTTTATGTCAGAGATCAAAGATCCATGTGATATACAATCCTATAACACACACTGCTGTTCAAAGTAGGTACTACCTTCCTACAGTGGGATGTAATCCATCATGAGGTATTATTATGGGGAAGAAAGAAGAAAAGACATTGAGTGGGGAAGAGAAATAAGGGGAATTTACATGGCAAAATGAGAGGGTGAAAGTGTGCCAAGAAGATGACGTAAGATGAAAACACAGTTGAATGAGTTTTGAGTGTGTGACATTCTCTTTGGCTCTTTCCTGCCTCAGTTTTGACTCTGTGTTCCTTTCTGTCTTCTCCTTGCTTTTCTGCTGCTGTTATCTTTTCCCATGCCCTTTTGAACTGGTTTTCCTTGCTACTATAGCCTAATTTTATTCTGAATATTTAGTGAGATGAAGTCATGTGGCAGGGGCTGACTCAGTTTCTATGTTCTGTCTCTGCCTCAGTCGCTGTGTTCTGTGTCCTTATAATTTTTCTACTTTCTCTCTTTTTTTTTTTTTTATGCTGCAGGTAATGCAAATTCTGGTGCTCTTACCAGGAACTCTTCAGCATCGCTTTCTCAACAGGTCAGAACCTCCAACAATAGGAGACTGGAGAGACAAATCACATGGGCTAATGCTGGGCGACCTCCTACAAGTGTACAGAACCTTTACAATGTGAGTAGCAGTCCTACCAAAAAAAACCAAAAAAAACAACCTTATCTTTTTATGGCCCAAAATTATGTAGACACAAAATATCTTAATCTGCAACTTTGTAAAGATACTTAAATGAGAGCCTGCTCTGTAACTAAATTAATACATTTTTATCAGTCAAAAATACGCATTGCAATATTGTTGCTTCTATGTATGTCAGTCAGGTGGTACCTGTAACCTAGTTTGATAAAGCAGTTGAGCTTGTATAGAGTATGTTCCCTTAAATAGAAAGCTAAGAGTGTGCTAACTCTTAGGTTAACTCAGCATGGGCAGATCCTGCTTGACCAACCTGATCTTCTATGACAAGGTGACCCACTTAGTGGATGAGGCAAGAACTGTGCATGTTTTCTGTCCAGACGTTAGTAAAGCCTTTGACACCTTTTCCCACAGCCTTCTCCTGGAGAAAATGGATACTCATGGCTTGAATGGGTAAACTCATTAACTGTTCACTGGGTAAAGAACTGGCTGGACGGCCAAGCCCAGAGAGTGGTGGTGAATGGAGTTCAATCCAGTTGGCACCAGCCACAAGCAGTGCTCCCCTGGGCTGAGGACTGGGGCCAGTTCTGTTTAATTTCTATCAATGATCTGGATAAGGGGATCAGGGTCACCCTCAGTAAGTTTGCAGACACCACCAGTCTGGGTGGGAGTGCTGATCTGCTGGAGGGCAGGAGGCTCTTCAGAGGGATCTGGACAGGTTGGATCCATGGGGATGAGGTTCAGCAAGGCTCAGTGCCTGTTCCTGTACTTGGGCCACAACGACCCCATGCAATGCTCCAGGCTTGGGTAAGAGTGGCTGGAAAGCTGCTCATGGAAAGGGACTTGGACTGCTGATTGACAGAGCCAAATATGAGCAGTTTGTGCCCAGGCAGCCAAGAAGCCAATGGCATCCTGGACTATATCAGCACCAGTGTGGCAGCAGTGCCGAGGCAGTGACTGTCCCCCTGTACTGGGCACTGGTAAGGCTGCACCTTGAACTCTGTGCTCAGTTTTAGGCCTCTCACTATGAAAGACATTGAGGTGCTGGAGCGGGTCCAGAGAAGGGAAATGGAGCTGAAGGGCCTGGAACACAGGTGTGATGGGGAATGGCTGAGGGACCTGGTAGGGGGTTTAGTCTGAAGAAAGGTAGGTTCAGGGAGACATTATTCCCAACAAGTACCTGAAAGGAGGTTGTAGCAAGGGGAATGTCAGTCTGTTCTTCCAAGTAACAAGTGACAGGATAAGAGGAAATGGCCTTAAGATGCGCCAGAGGAGTTTTAGGCTGGAGATTAGGAACAATTAATTTACCAAAAGGATTATCGAGCACTGGAACAGGCTGCTCAGTGCAGTGGTGGAGTCACTGTCCCTGGACGTATTTAAAAAATGTGTATATGCGTGGCACTTAGGGACATGGTTTAGTGGTGGCCTTGGCAGTGTAAGGTTAGTGGTTGGACTTGATGACCTTAAAGGTCTTTTCCAACCTGAACAAGTCTGTAATTTGATGATTCCAACTGAAGAGTTTATGCTAGTAGGGGAAATAACTGGACATAACTTGCCTCTGACATGGATTAGATACACACAGAATCACAGACTCAGAATAGTTTGGATTGGAAGGGACTGACCAGCTTGTAGTTCCCCAGGTCTTTCTTTTTTCCCTTTTTAAAACTGGGGGTTATATTTCCCTTTTCTGTCACTGGGAACTTCACGGTGCCATGAGTTCTCAAATACAATGTGAAGTGGCTTCGCCACTTCATCTGCCTGCTCCCTTAGGACCCTTAGATGCACCTCATCTGATCCCATGGACTTGTGCACCTTCAGGTTCCTTAGGTGTTCTTGAACCTGCTCTTTTCCTACAGTGGGTGGTTTTTCATTCTCCCAGCCCCTGCCTTTGCCTTCTGCCACTTGTCAGTGTGGCTGGAGTACTTGCCAGTGAAGACTGAGGTAAAAAGAAAAGGCCTTCTCCATATCTCTGGTAACCAGGTCTCCTGTTTCCTTCCAGAGAAGGTCATGTATTCCCTAGTCTTCCTTTTATCACCAGGGTACCTATAGAATCTTTTCTTGTTGCCCTTGATGTCCTTGTCCAGATTTAATTTTATCAGCACTGTAGCTTTTCTAATCTGATCCATGGCTGCTCGAACAGTTTATCTGTATTCCTCCCAGGCTGCCTGTCCTTGTTTTCACCCTCTGCAGGCTTCCTTTTTGCGCTGGAGTTTGTCCAGGAACTCTTTTCATCCACACAGACCTCCTGGCATTTTTGCCTGACTTGGGATGTGTTGCTCCTGAGCTTGGAGGTGTTCCTTGAGTGTTAACCAGCTTTCTTGGGCCCTTATTCCCTCCAGAGCTTTAACCCATGGTACTCTACCAAGCAGATCCCTTAAGAGGCTGAAGTCTGCTCTCCTGAAGTCCAGGGCTGGAAGTTTGCTGTGCACCCTCCTCAATGCTCTAAGTATCTTGTACTCCACCATTTCAGGGCTGCCCTTGAGCTTTACGTTCCCCACCAGCCCATCCTTGTTGGTGAGAACAAGGTCCAGCAGAGCACCCCTCCTTATTGGCTCCTCTGACATGTGGAGAAGGAATTTATCATCAGTGTATTCTAGGAATATCCTGGATTGCCTATGTCCTGCTGTGCTGTCCCTCCACCGCATATCAGAGTGGTTGAAGTTCCCCATGAGAGCCATGACTTCTGAACATGAGGCTGCTCCTGTCTATAGAGGGCCTCATCTGCTCAGTCTTTCTGGTTGGGCAGCCTGTAGCGGACTCCCACTATAATGTCACCTGTCCCTATCCTCCCCTTAATCCTGACCCATAAACTCTCAGCTGGCTTCTTGTCCATCACCAGGCAGAGCTTGGGCATAGTAACTTGCATATTGCAATGCCTACATTCAGGTGTTTTGTCTGCTAATGAACTTTACAACCCAGAGTTAAGTTCTGTGCATAAGGCAGAGTGTTGAGAGGAAGAGGAGGAAGACCATCTATCAGTATCACCAGGAAACTGCAAAGGCACAGATGTGGCCTTACTTCTGCAGAATGCGTAATGCTGATCTTCAGCTGGTCTGGGTTTATAAATACTTTCTCCTGGATTTTGAAGTCTAACCCCAATCTGTCAAAACAACCCTATCACCTGTGACTTGAGCAGCAAGAGGAGGTTCATGCAGGAATTCTGTGAATGATTGTTGAATTTCAGTATGGGAATTAGGTACTTCAGAGAACATAGAGGAACCGCCCTTTGGAAAATCAGTCTCTGCCTCATTAACAGTATTTTTTTTTTTTTTCCCCACAAATATTAACTGTAATGGATTATATGTGTCACCCAACAGTAAGCAATGAAAAAATATCTCTGCAGATCCTCTGCCTCTACTTCCTTTTCCCATCTTGAGTTTCTAGTGCAACATCTTTATAGGTGTGCTGAGATACATGACTTTTCCACTGCCTTTTTTCTAGAGGACGGGCTAATTTCAGACTGCATTCTAGTTTTAGTGTTATCACTTCAGACAAGTGGTGACCACATGGTTCAGACAGTGAGCAGCACTAAAAACTCCCTTTGACTGAGAATCATAGATCAGTTGCTTTTACATTATCTTCAGCAATGACTTGTCCTGTCCAAAGCGTGTAGGTAGCAAATTCTTTTTTAGCCAAATTGAGACTGTGATATATTCTAAACTTAGCTGGAGAATTCACACTACCTCTGGAATGAACTTAATGGATTGCTGCTGCTGAACAGTGACAGTTTCAGTCCTGTCGTCTCTGCTCCTCCTTTTTCCCTGTTCCTGGTCACACTTCCTTGTGAAAGTTCTTAAGCTCATTGGGTTCTTACATGACCTCCTTGCCCCTGCTTTTTCGTTTTCCTGAGCCAGCTGTCTGCTGCCTGGCTCAAGGAGTCTAGGCAACACAAGGTGATCAGAGGAAGCTTATGGCAGAGGAAGAATATGGAAGGAGACACCACAGATTACCCTTTCTATGACACTAAAGAGTGACTTTTTTGTCATGGGACTTTCTCACATGCCCACAAAAGAATACTGCTCCAGTGCCAGTAGTTCATGATGCACCCATTCTTAAGCCCTTTTCCCTCACATCCTTCTCACCATCCTGTTCGTGATCTTGCAGAGCAGTGCTGCTTGTTCATACAATATTCATGATCTGTCCTACTCCAAGCTGAAGTAAAATTTGTGTTCCTTTTTTGTATTTTAGAAAGCTATACAGGTTACTATCTTGGCTTTTCTTTATTGCACAGAATCCAAGAAATACTCAGTTTCACAGCAAAGATGTTCGTCCCCCTCTGAAGTCCAGTAAAAAGATGTTCAGGATTACTGCAAATATGGGAGCTGCTGGTGACCCAAAAGCATCGATGGGCAGTTACTCTCAGGCCTATGGAACCATATGTAAATCTGCGCTGCAGAGTCTTCCAATATCAAAGTCCTCCCAGCAACTTGAGCAGTGAATATGGAAGTGTTCTAAGCAGGTGAAGTCAGCTCATCTCATCAGTCCCCTAACCGAACCCTTCAGTTTGTTTTCCACTATTTTCTATGACTCTTCTGGGGTAAATGAACATAATCAGTGGTGGCTTATTTTCACTAAAATGATGTAGAAAAGCATTTTAAATGCAGGCGGGTTCTGCTACAACATTTAATAGCTTACGTACCACGTAATACTGTGATATTGCAAATATTGTAATAATAAATACTTTACATTGCATTACAGAAAATCTTTGTCTTTCAATTAATGTTTGTTATGTGTGAAAGGGAAAAATCCAGAAGTATCTTGTTCAATGAATAACACAGTAATTTATTTGTTTTTTGCTTTCAGAAAGCAATGTTTCAAGAGATACTGTTGCTGAAACATCATGAAGTTGTTATCAGGCAAAAGGGGGACAACAGTAAACTTTAAAACTAGATTCCTGTTTTAATGCTGATTTTTGATACATTTTCCTCATTAACTTAAAGTTATTATAAGAAGTCTTTGTCTCTGAAATTTTACTTGATCTATGATAAATGATTCTTATTCCAGAATGCTGGGACTACAGTTACAGAGGGGATTAAGGAACTAAATTTTAACATGTGAGTATCACTGCCATTGATGGAATATCCATTTTATCTTGTTGTATGTAAACACTAGTTTATATAGATTATATAGTTAGTTATATAGATTTAGTAATCTAAACAAAAGGCTAGTTAAGTAAAAAATCGAAATATTTACTTCTGATACCAGGTGTGGTCACTCAAGTCTGCTAATACTAGGCTGGGAATGCAGCTCTCAGGGAAGTCCTGGTTTATTCTGGTATATCCATAAAATAGGCATTTCCTATCTATCCCAGGTACAGGTAGATACAGAAAACGGCAATGACAGGGTGAACATATTGTGTAGTGGTCTGTGCAGCATGACAGCTCTTGTGAATCCAAGATGCCTGTTCTCATGCATGGAAAAGGGAGCCTATTGCTTCATGCAGGGTTGGCTTCCACTGAAAGACGGCACCCAGCAGTTTGATGATACAGTGAGATATTGAAGATCCTCTGAACCTGATCTCAGAGGTGATGGGCTGTAACATTAACCTTTTATTCTTAAAATGGCTTTTGTTATTACAAAGTGAATTAATTACTCTGCAATATTTGTATGCACCTACAACATTTGGTAATCAACTTAACACTAAAAGAGATGTGTCATTCTAGTTCTGGTCAGGAACATGAGTTTACACTGAACAGACCATACTGAGTAAAAAAAATTCTAAAACTAAAAAATACGGCAAAATTCTAAAATATTAATGTAATCTGTGACTACAGCAATCATTAAATATCTAACTTTGTTAAAGAATGGTGCTGGAGCTCGTGGGTTTAGGAAAGGCTGGGGAGGTGTGGAATGATGTAAGACTTGGACGGAACAGAGCTAGCACATATATAATAGGATATGTACCTCTATAGCCTATCTTCCTCTCTAGAGTAAAATAATTTCTATCTGTATCATCTGCAAGAGAAAAACTGTATTGATCATTACAGTTCATTTTGGGACCCACCAATAACTGGATCTGATTCATTACTAAGAGCAGACAAAATAAGTATACACACAGCATTACAGCATTCCTTTATGAATTTATAGGTATGTAACAGATTATGGGTGGTATCTGAAATAGTATACAGTTGTACAATATGGAATAAGCATAAGAAATCCAGTTCAGCTTTGTTTCCAGTAATTGTTACAGATAAGTAAATTATATAAAGCCTGCTGAACTATGTAAAGCCTGCTACCATGGGAGCTGGCATTCTCAAAAAGGAACTAAAGTTTTAAAGACCCTCTACTAAAGTTACCTTCAGGAATTGATGCAGCCTCTTGTCTCCATCTGTCAGCCACATATCTGAACTGGTTTGCTGAGCTTGCAGCTAGTGTCACAAGTGACTACTCAGAAACCCCAGGCTAACAGGAATGGGAAATCCATGTGAGAACATCTCTTTGGACTATGGTACAAAGATCAAGGGGAGGAAAAAAAACCAAAACCAAACCAAAAAAAACACCAAACAGTTTGGCAATCCTGCTGGATGCCAAGCCGAGGAGAAAAAAAGCTAAGGAACTAAGTATTATGTACAGTGTATTCATGATATCCTCTGTGTCTACCTTCTGCCATCCAAAGACACTGTAACTCAACAGCATGAACCTATGGGCTAATCTGGACTGGTAAAGCTGCATGGTTAAGTTGGTACCAAACTACATGAGAGAAAACACTCCTGAGCTTGAAAATTCCAGCTGCCTTATTCCTTCCATTGTTCTGAGTCTCTTCTTCCCCTGTGTTCGCATGGACAAATGTGCTAACAAATAAGCCTCCCTCCTCCCTGCAGTCACTTAATGAATTGGAGTTACACTGTCAAGGAAATTACTACTTGGCCAAGATGGCATTTTAGATGCTTCATTAAACTCTGGTCTCAGCTGAAAGGAGTCCTAAACCCAGGTCTTTCTCCATTAATAGCATGTCCATGTCCTTTCTTACGGCGTTTCAGCTGCTACTTTCAGCTCACCCCTAGGGCAATACAGCCATTATACATAAGGGGATAAACCAACAGAACCAGAACCAACAGGTTTAGGAAATGGTTAAAACAAAAGCTGAGCGTGTTCTGCTGGACAGGACCATGACCACAGATAGGGGTAAAGTTGTTTACAATATTTTTTTTTCTCCTGTAAACCTTCAAAAAGGTGCCTATCTCATTTGATTCATTATTAGATACAAAGAAGAGATAACTGTATCTGAGAAACAGTTGTTTTTAAACACGTTTTCCAGTTCATGCGTGTGTGTCTGTGTGTGCGTATCTTTCCTGGACTGAAGTCTTGAATTTTCTATTTTTTATTCTTTCCTTCTGAAAGTGGAATAGTTTTGTTTGCTGAAAATATTCCCTGAGCGTAATATAAAGAGACTCTGACTTTATTTCTTTGTTTTAAGCATCTTGGCAATTTAATAACTTTATTTGAAACATAATGTGATAAGGATGGTGGATACCACATGACTTTATTGGGCAAATTGTGCCACAGGAGTCTAATGCTGAACACATTTCCACTCACTAACCATGAAGAGTATTGCCTATGGTGCTAAGAGCCGCCATAAACAAGTTACTTCCTCATTCCCCTTTGACAGTCAGTGATTATATGGAATTAAATAGTATTTCTATGATCATTTTTTAGTCTTGAAGGTCCCCAGGATTTTGGGCATGAATTTTCCCATCTTCTTGTCTTTGGCATCTGTGTCATATTCCTCTTCACTCTGACTTGTGTGTTCATCCTTTTTGCAGAAGACCTCAAATCTACTATAGACTCGCTTTTCCTTCCGCATATTCTCCATTTTCTTCAGCAGGGTATCTCTATCCTCTGATGGTTGCCGCTGAAGATTTCGTTTCTGGCTCCCAAAACTCTCTGACCTGTGGATATTACAGCTTTTCTCCTTCTCACCTTTCCTTTCCAAGCTTGTAGTTGACTTTGAAAGATCAGGATTACTAGTGGATGGTAGTTGCTTGGCCAGTTCAGCTCTGTTCTTCTGACTGTTTGCAGAGATTTGTTCCAAAATCACCTTGGTATCATCACGGAGGTTGCTGCTATAGAGGATGTTAGCTGTGGATGAAGGAAATCTCCCCTGTGTGGGCTGGCTGCTTTTGGGAGGAAGTGGTGTTGCAAATTTATGGGTTTTTTCTTCCTCCATCATTTCCTGACAGTCCCCTATGGAAGATCGCTTGAGAACCACAGCTTGCTTATCAGACTTTCCAATCTCCAAAGTGGGCTCCTCCTCCAATTTCTTTTCGCCTTTTGGGTTCAAAAACTGCTTCAGCCGTAGTGACCCTTTTCTTAAAAATTCCATTGGATTTTGTTCTTGTTTTGAACAGTCTTCCTCAGATTTATTGAGAGAGCTGTCAGATCCTTGACTTCTCGATAAATTTTCAAGAACTGATGTGGTACTTGTCCTAATCTGTGGTTTCTTCAGTTCTGTATTGACTAATTTCTGAGTGTCTTCTTTGAATGTCACTCTTTCCTTCTTCTCTGGAAGAGTCAACTTTTGAGTGTCTCCTACAAATATAAGACTCTCCTTCTCTGGAAGAGCAGGTTTACTGTCTATGGGGTAAAACCGAGATGATAATTTGTCCACCTTAGTTCCAGTATGTGCTAAGGGATCTTTACTCAATGTGTCAATAAGCTGGGGGGGCGATGAGGCCATTGCAAATGGTCTTTCAGCTTCTCCGTGCATTTTGTAAGTACTGCAGGAGTCTTTGGATTCTAGTACCCTACTCTCCAGAATCTTATATTGCACGGACTTGGTGCATTTCTTCTCTGCGTTCTGTGATTCTTCCTGTAGATAACTGGAAACAGCTTTGGTATGAGTGACTGTAGCTCGCTCTGTGTCTTTGCCCACAGCTTTGTACTTCTCTAAAAGTTCTGCCACTTTAGATGAGGTGGCTGTCTTTATAGTTTCATTGTCTTTCGTCAGCTCACTGGACATTTGTTCTTTCTGGATCATCTGAACCTTTTCTATTGCAGTGTTAGGCTGGTCTAACTTGGCAGCACTGAAAATCAGAGAGGACCTGAGTCTTGAGCTCCTCTGGATCAAAGGATTTATTCTGGACCTAAATGCATCTTGTTTCATTATAGGGGTTTCTTCACCTACTCTATCAGGATCTGAAAATTCTTTGGCACTTTCAATTCCCAGTGACTTGTTGTTAAAAGACATAGGGGATTTGAATGCTGGGATGAGGTCAGTGGGGTGCTTTGGGAGGGTATCCCCAAGAACATCATTATATGCCTCTGATTCCATAGGCATTGGAAGACCTTCTTCTGGTTCGGACTGGTATGCACTCAGGTATGAGGAAATCCTCCAGTTACGTAAACCTGTTCTGTTTTCCTGTGTGTTCTTGTCCTCATCTTGGTCCTCCTCTTTGTCTTGTAAGAACAGGCGTTGTTCCAGGCTTTGCTTCTGAGTAGGAGAAGTCTGGCAAATAAATTTCTGTCCTATATTCTGCCTTCTTAACATCATTCCCATTGGGCCATTCCCTGCAGGATTCAGCTGATCAGAGCCATGTCTCACTTCCCTGGAAGAATTTGAAGGTACATAATCCAGCCTTAAGGGGAAACCCTCTTGTGGAAAATTGGATTCAAGTTCAGGGTATCTGGATCCCTCTCCGTAGTCTTCCAGTTCATTGAATTGCCTACCACCTCGGATTCTCTCAAAGAGTCCC